TTATGTCACGAAGCCTGAAACCGGCTGAATTAGACACGAGACGCGAAGCGTCGAGTGTATAATCCAGCCGGTTTCAGGCATGAGTGGCATAAAACACTTTTCCGCACTCGTAACGAAATATACTAATTTCGTAACGAGTGCAAAATAGTATATTTCGTAACGAGTGCAAAAAAGTCTTTTTTGGCGAGTGGGATTATATCACGAGCCTTCGGCCTTCGGCCCGTGATATAATCCCACGAGCTAAAAAACATTTTTTCACGAGTTACGAACAATATTTTTCATCACAATGTGGCGGAAATTGGACTTTTAGGCACGCGGAGCGTGCCGAAAAGTTCACTTTTCGTCACAGCATGATGAAAAATAATTTTTAACCAGAGATTCTCCCTAATATTGCCTGAATTTTGAATCCGAATGGGAGAAATTTTTTTGTTCAGCGATTGGTTTTCTGCAGGAAAACAATAGAAACCCCTCCGCCTCACCTACATTTCCTCCTCGGCCGATTATCCTTAAATTCAAACGACGAAAACCCGCCAGATTTAACCGGTCGCTTCCCCACCCCCTGAAGATAAAAAAGCTCTCTCTCCTGCCAACGAAGCTCCCAACCCCCCAGCGCCCCCAGCATCCCAAAATCCCGTCAATTTGTTCATCGACTCGCCCATCTGCAAACCCCACACTCACCTCATACTCCTCGTCGCAATAATTCTCGGTCTATAGTGGCCGTCGGATGGTCGACGGTAGGCGGTAGTCTAGCGAACATGGCTGAGAACAATGGCAAATCGTTGTGACTAGCTGCGCCGTCTCGCTTTAAAAAAATTGTCAACAAATCCCGAATAATCAAATCACAAAGCCCAGAGGACCGCTCAACACACCGTAAGTACTCTCAACAATCAAATCATCGTTATTTCAACGGTTACCATTATTCAACAACAATTTATCAATCGTCGTGCTCTTGGGGGCCCTAGGAGTACTAAAACGGATGATAGACGAACGATTTTTCGTGTGAATATACCTCGAACACTGTCAACCCCTCAATCACTCGGTGATTCTTTCGTCTGTGCGACATGCACGATTCATCTCGCGATTAGTCATTGCTGGCAGCTTCCTTCCGTTGTGGGTCGTGAGAGAATTTCTTTTTTTACTTTTTTTCTGGAGCTTTTGCGTGAGAATAATGCATCGGCTTCCGCTTCATCTCTGGCACTTCACTTCGGAACGTCTCCGCGGTATTTCGTGGAGAACATTTTTTTTGTCATTCGGGTTGCGGTTTTTTAGGGCGAGGGGGGGGCCGATTTTTTTGGGGGAGGGTTGGGGGTGCGGAGAATTAGGGGGTGATTGGGGTTATGGGGTTAGTCGGGGTGGGGGTGGTAGGGAATTTGGAGAAGTTTTTAGTGAGTTTATTCTGTGAAGATGTCCCGAGCGTTTTTTGTAAAAGTACTCGTTATGAGATGGTTTGGCGATTAGGGGATTATTGAGGACATGAGTGGTTTTATCGAATAATGTCAGAGGAACTTTTTTGTGGAGAATTTTCTTGGCTACAGATAAAGTTTTATGAGATTTTTTGATTGAGTGGACGGTTTGGGAGATAATTTGATGGGTAGGGAGTAATTATTACTGTTGGTTTTTAGGAGAGGAAGATGAAGGATTTTTTACTTTTCTGGAAATGGTAGAAAATTTTGGGAGGGGTGGGTTCGGGAGAAAATTAAGAGAAGTTTTTAGTGAGGAGTTTATTCTGTAGAGAAAGTGTCTCGATTTTTTGGTGGAATTACTCGTCATGGGAATGTTTTAATGATTAGTGAGGGCTAAGACGATTTAAGTGGAGAGTGAAATTTTTTGGTAATTAGGAGATTTTCAGGATATTAGTGGTTTTATCGAATAATGTCAGAGGAACTTTTTTGTGGAGAATTTTCTTGGCTACAGATAAAGTTTTATGAGATTTTTTGATTGAGTGGACGGTTTGGGAGATAATTTGATGGGTAGGGAGTAATTATTACTGTTGGTTTTTAGGAGAGGAAGATGAAGGATTTTTTACTTTTCTGGAAATGGTAGAAAATTTTGGGAGGGGTGGGTTCGGGAGAAAATTAAGAGAAGTTTTTAGTGAGGAGTTTATTCTGTAGAGAAAGTGTCTCGATTTTTTGGTGGAATTACTCGTCATGGGAATGTTTTAATGATTAGTGAGGGGTAAGACGATTTAAGTGGAGAGTGAAATTTTTTGGTAATTAGGAGATTTTCAGGATATTAGGGGTTTTATCGAATAATGTCAGAGAAACTTTTTTGTGGAGAATTTTCTTGGCTACAGATAAAGTTTTATGAGATTTTTTGATTGAGTGGACGGTTTGGGAGATAATTTGATGGGTAGGGAGTAATTATTACTGTTGGTTTTTAGGAGAGGAAGATGAAGGATTTTTTACTTTTCTGGAAATGGTAGAAAATTTTGGGAGGGGTGGGTTCGGGAGAAAATTAAGAGAAGTTTTTAGTGAGGAGTTTATTCTGTAGAGAAAGTGTCTCGATTTTTTGGTGGAATTACTCGTCATGGGAATGTTTTAATGATTAGTGAGGGCTAAGACGATTTAAGTGGAGAGTGAAATTTTTTGGTAATTAGGAGATTTTCAGGATATTAGTGGTTTTATCGAATAATGTCAGAGGAACTTTTTTGTGGAGAATTTTCTTGGCTACAGATAAAGTTTTATGAGATTTTTTGATTGAGTGGACGGTTTGGGAGATAATTTGATGGGTAGGGAGTAATTATTACTGTTGGTTTTTAGGAGAGGAAGATGAAGGATTTTTTACTTTTCTGGAAATGGTAGAAAATTTTGGGAGGGGTGGGTTCGGGAGAAAATTAAGAGAAGTTTTTAGTGAGGAGTTTATTCTGTAGAGAAAGTGTCTCGATTTTTTGGTGGAATTACTCGTCATGGGAATGTTTTAATGATTAGTGAGGGCTAAGACGATTTAAGTGGAGAGTGAAATTTTTTGGTAATTAGGAGATTTTCAGGATATTAGTGGTTTTATCGAATAATGTCAGAGGAACTTTTTTGTGGAGAATTTTCTTGGCTACAGATAAAGTTTTTTGAGATTTTTTGAGTAAACTGACGGTTTGGGAGATAATTTGATGAGTAGGGAGCAGGGAAGTGAATTTTTTCAGACGAGGTGGACTCATCATCATCTCTTGAGTTTCAGTATCTCTTAAAAAAAGTCCTCAACATGAACAAAAATTTTACTCTGCCGATGTTGATTTACTGACAACCAGAAGAACTGCATTTCATCCCCTTTTTGTGCATTGGAATTTTAGTAGTACACTGAGAGAAAAACGACAAAGTTCTAAAACAAGTCTTACTTGTGCCAAGAAAATATATTTTTTTTAATTATTAAAAAAGGATTTTTTTGTGCCAAAGATGCAGAGAGTGCGCCGGATTGAAAAATTTTCGTCGCAAAAATACATTTAGTAGTTGAAAAAAAATTGCATTCTCTAGACGCAAGAAATGTCATTTCTAGCACGACTCCTTCGTTATTCGATACCCCTATACATATTTTGCTCCCGAAAAATCTTTGTTTTATGCGAAACAAGGGAATTTTTTCGTTTCGGCTGTCTAATAATCACAGACAACAAATGCACCCTTAAATGAAACAATAATAATGATATGATAGCAATCTTGTAACTTAGGGATAAAATATTTGTTGATAAATTTTCCTCTGAATGAGATATTTTCATCCTGAAAAGGCAGCGTCTGGTGTGAATTGTCCGCCTCTTGAGCCAAATATTTCGTTGCTGTCGAAAGCAGAACAATTATTCATGTTCGAGACTTTCAAATTCGAACCAAACAAATTATTTTTTGGCAATTTTCAACTAGCGATTTTGTTGACCCAAACAAGATTTGTTTGACGTGTTTTTCTCTCAGTGTATGGGATAAGAGAGATTCGGGCAAAATGGGACGTTTCGTGATCTTCTCTACTTGTCAGTATCTTCACTTTTAAATAAAGATCTTAACAATTGGAAAATTGAGGTATTAAATAAGATCTTTATACGTCCCATTGTGCCCGACCCTCCCCTACATCAGTGACAATAATGATTATTTTAGGTTTTGAGGAGGAGGAAAAGATAAAGGATTTTTTACTTCTCTGGAAAGAGGGGAAAAATTCTTGAAAGGGTTCATCAAGTTGCGTGGAATTAGGTAATTCCGAGGATGATTGAGGTTATGGGGTTATTTGGGGAGGGGGTGGGTTCGAGGAGATGAGGTAAATGGACTTTTTTAAATCGTCGATGCGAGGTATGAATAGATTCCGGCGCTGATTACTGTTACGATCACTCGGGAGGGACAGGTGGAAGAGCGGGAACGGGAGCAAATAAGGAGCAGGGTTTTAAAATAGCTCTACCCTTACGGTAAATTCAACGATTACTAAAAACTGCAAAACAATCGCAGAATACTCGATTAGATTCGGAATTCTAATTTTTTTCGCAATTTCATTATCGTTTTGGTTTTTCAAAGAAGAAATGTTTAAAAATCAGGATTTAACCCAGTGTCTTATGTGAAAATCAACATTTCCGTTGTAATCAAAGATTAAAATCTGAATTTTTTTTCATTAGATGTGAAAAAATCAAGAGTTTTTTTGACACATCATAAAAAATAATCCCCCGTTTTGCAAACAAGTTTTATTATTAATTTAGATAATACTGACTGGGTGTGAATTTTTCCAAATTTTTTCCGTGCAATTTAGTTGAAAAATTTTAAAACTCAAAATATCCCGAAGTACAGCGTTTAATGAAGAATTAGATCTGCGCGCGCGCTTATCTTTTTGTTGTGAAAATGAAGAAATCGAATTTATTAAACTTCATGTACTCATAAATGTTTTATAAATATTGATAATGACTTGAAGAGAATTAAGAGAATGAAGAGAATGAAGAGTGAAACATCAATGAATAATTTTTCATTTTCGATTAATCCTTTTTTCTTTTTTTTTACTTTTTAAAATAATCTGATTAAAATCTGTAAGTGTTGAACAATGAGGGGAGGGTTATGAATTAATTTCCCAGAAAACTGAAAAAATTTCTTGAATCTTCGGAAAATTCCAGTTTTCCAGATAACCGTCGCTCTTCAAAGATTTTCCTCGAATTATTTGGGAAACCGAAGAATTTCCATGAATTTTGTACAGTTTAGACTTTATGTATGAAGATCTAAGAAGCAAGAATTGCTCATTTGTGCGTATGATAAATATGAAAAAATTAAAATTTGGGAAGTGAAGAATAATTCGTGTGTTAAAAAAATTTAGAAATACTGTTTTTTTCTCATGATCAACAATTTGGCAATTTAGATACGTTTTTTGATATAAAGATAAACTTCACACATGAAAAAATGAAAAATATGACGCAGAAAAAATTTTGCCACTTGAAGAATTTGAAAATACCGGGAATTTTTTTCAGGGACTGCTTCACGTGACTTATTGACCAATCAAAATTGAGGATTAGCGGTCAGGCAGTTTCGAGATATTTCGATATAAAACAACTTCACGTTTCGTTCATCTTTAGTAAATAGGATAATACATTATGCGTATTATTATGATCAGCTTATTATTTCTTTTTTTTTTAATATGCACATTATATTTTATAATCCATATATATAATACTATTATATATTGTATATTATAAATAGTATATATAATATAGTATAGTATTATCGTAATCATTTATAAAAAATCTAATGATCAAAAACCAAACCAAAAGAAAAATCAAATTCGAATTAAGTCAATTCGATAGTGAAGTGGTAAACCGGTATAAGTCGATTTTGACTATTGCCCAGTTTTCAATGAATATCTCAAAATCCAAGGGAAATAGCAAAATTTTTGTCATAACGTTTTTTGTAGAGCAAATTGAGAGCTACAAAAAAGGAAATCATAACAATTTCGCTATTTCCCTTAGATTCCGAGATATTTATCGAAAACTGGCCAATAGTCAAAATCGACTTATACTGGTTTACCACACCGCTACTGAATTCTTTTTTGGCAATTTTCAACTAGCGATTTTGTTGGCCCAAACAAGACTTGTTTGACAATGTGTTGGTTTTTCACTCACTGTGCAATTATTAATTTTTATCTATGAAACTACTTTGTTGACTCCATCGGTGCATTGTTGGGTCAATGAAGTAGTTTCATAAATAAAAAATAATAATTGCAGGAGAAAACACAATTCTAAAAGTTCGTTTAGACACAGGGGTTCCGTTTCCCCTTGAGATAGCGGACTCTTAAGAGCACGTACCCCTTGCACGTGTTGAATTCTAAAATAGCCCTCGTGTCTATACACTGATAGAAAAGGTGGAACGATTTAGTTGCTGTTGAGGGGAGACTGCTATGAGGTTTAAGGATAATCGGGCGAGGAGGTGAGGCGGAGGGGTTTCTATTGTTTTCCTGCAGAAAACCAATCGCTGAACAAAAAAATTTTTCCCATTCGGATTCAAAATTCAGGCAATATTAGGGAGCATCTCCGGTTTAAAATTATTTTTGGAGCTAATCAAATTTATTTGTATCGGTTCCACGCATTGAATGGTTTTCAGATTGTTTTTTTTTTTAATAAATGAAAAAATATTAATCCATCCGAAAAAGTGGCAACATCGTCGGTAGTTTTTTGTTCACCAGGAGCTGGTACCACTGGCTCGAGGGAGCTCCAATCACAACGCTTCATCGCTCTCTCTCAAGAGACGTTTAAATTGACCGCGCTACCCCCACCCGATCGGTACTTGGGACGTTGCTGCTCGTTTGGGCTGCGTGCGCAGAAATTTCATTTTTCAGTACTTTTTTCGCTATTGTTAATAAACAATGCTCCTAGGCGACAATATTTTTCACTCAAAAAATCATTGATCACATGTTCTAAATGTGTCTAAAGTTTCATGACTTTGGCTGCATTTTTTCCGTGGATTTTGCCGTTTTTTTGGTGATTTCCATAAGATCACGGGTTAAATGACCACTTTTTCAAAAATTCGTAATAAATTAACCATGCTCCCCAGCAGTCTGAAACTTTGCACACGCCTTTTCCATCATTTAAAGAATACATTTAAAAAAAATGGCTGATTTTTTCCAATCCTCCCAGCTGGCCCGATTATCCTTAAAATGCGTCTCGAGTTGGTAAACCTGTCGATTGTTTTCTCTCTCTCTCAGTTCCATGGTCCAACCCATGCCGTTCCCACGATGCTCACTGACATTCGAATCACGCGTCTGCGCGTGAGGGCGTAATTGCTCCGAAACTCATAATTTTCCGAATCATTTGTTCAAATAACTTTCTTACGAAATCTTAAAGTTATACGTGTTTTCAAGAAAGATTTATTTAATTTATCACTCACTAGTTTTTTTTCAATAGCTCATTATTTTTTTGGCTGCCACGGAAATTTCCCTAATTGAGAGTGGGGTAACCTCGGAGGTTACAGCTGGAAGGGTTACATAAACATCCACATTTCATTTTTTTTTCTTGAGACTAACATCAGAAAAAAAAAATGCGCAAGAATTCTTAATGACACTCAGAATTTTCTCTCGCGAATTTTCCTATTTTTTTTCATTATCTTGACTTTTCAGGAGAAAACTTGAGTGGTCGCGCTTTTCTAGCATTCACTCGCTCTGCAGTGACGGCCTTTAGGTTGCGTATAATTGGCGGGGATTCCCTCACGATGCGCCCACTTAAGGGTTAACCCTTAAGTGATCACACAATAAGGGAATCCCCGCTGTTATTCGATTTTTTCTTTTCACACAAAAACTTCGTGAGTGAAAAATTCATAAAAATTTGTACTCCAACTTTGAAATACATTGAATACATTACCATTTTGGTAGCTCAGACTTATGCCAATGAATTATTAAAACCTTTTAAAAATTGTAATCGCTGAAAATCCGCGTTTTTAACCTCAAAATTTCAAAGTTTTGCACCTCATGAGATCGAGGTCATGGTTTATATTGTAACTGTTCCTCCTTTATATCCCTATTTCCTATTAATTAAGGGTTCAAAATTAATTAATAGGAAATGGTCCTATTAATCGAAGGTTCAAAATTACTCGAACGCGAAATGGATTCTTTTTTCAATTTTTTAAAAATGGAATCATACATCGGATTTTCCCGATTTTTTTTAATAACTCGAGTTCTATCCATCCGATTTTGATTTATTAAGCGTCAAAATTTTTCATTTTTTACTGCCTATAAGAATATTTGTAGTAAAATTCTTTTCCGATTTTTAGATCCTCACAATAACGAATTTTCGAGAAAAAAAAAAGTTGAAAAAGTCGAATTTTGCAAATTATGTCACTTTTGATTTGTTTAATTTTTTTCAGTAATTCTTATAATCAAAACAAGTATTTTGAGCCGTGATACAAGTTGGGGATCCTCTTGGATCGATTTTCTTTTCAATTTTTTCTTTTCGGAATTCCGCAAATTTGGTCAATTCATTCCCCAATTCTAACCAGAATTATCAAAAAAGAATAAACGAATGTTTATAATTATCAAATCATTGGGTTCCAGGTCGATAATATGATGGCAACTGCTGTTCAAGAGAATGGCATGAGACCTCTAACGAACGGTTCCTTCAATCACGTTGAGAAGGTGGAGCCTGTAGATAATTTGGAAAACGGTGAAACAATAAATGAGACTGAGACCCCCAACAACTCTCCACCAAGCATGCCTGTTGAGGAGAGCGATGCACCGAGGGAAATTGATATTGTCATACGTAATGTTGTCTGCAGCTTTAGTGTCCGGTGCCATCTGAATTTGAGAGAGATTGCACTGAGGGGTGCTAATGTGGAGTACAAGAGGGAGCATGGGGTAAGTCAAAATGTCAAATCAATATTGTCGAGTTTCACTGTTGATTGTCATGATTTTCCTCGATTTCTATGGACATCATGATAACACTTTAGTCATGTTACATTAAGGGGAGACTATTATGAGTCTTAAAAGTCGTGGGTTATTTGATTGGGACTTTTCATACGTTGAAGATCGATTATTATTTTTCTTATATTTTATCATCATTTCATTGTATTTTATTACACTGAGAGAAAAACGACAAAGTTCTCAAACAAGTCTTACTTGTGCCAAGAAAATAGTTTTTTGAAAATTATTAAGAGGATTTTTTTGTGCCAAATATGGAGAGAGTGCGCCGGAATGAAAAATTTTTGTCGCAAAAATAGATTTAGTAGATTAAAAAAAATAGCATTCTATGTGCACGCAAGAAAGGTCATTTCTAGCACGACTCCTTCGTTATTCGATACTCCCATACGTATTTAGCTCCCGAAAAATCTTTGTTTTATGCGAAACAAGGGATAGTAGTTTTTGATTTCGACTGTCTAATAATCACAGACAACAAATGAACCCTCAAATGAAACAATAATAATGATAATGATAGATAAAATATTTGTTGATAAATTTTCCTCTATATGAGATATTTTCATCCTGAAAAGGCACCGTCTGGTGTGAATTATCCGCCTCTTGAGCCAGATATTTCGTTGCTGTCGAAAGCAGAACGAATATTCATGTTTGAGCCTTTCAAATTCGAACCAAAGAGTTGATGAAATAATCGATGGAACAATTTTGCTAATTGCTTCGGCCAATTGAACAGTGGAAATAATACTATTCTATTCAATCATTCAGTGAAGTAAGAGTTGTCCATCTCTCCTCGAGCATTAATAATATGAGAACACAATGAAAGTGTTTCCTTAGATTTGATATTGAATTTAGTTTCAATTGAGTCTATTTCAGTCATCATTCATCATTTATTTCTAGCTTCATTTGTCTTCATCTCTGTCGAGCCCTGAAGTATATATCGTCATAATTGCTGACTATTTTTCAGATTTATTTCAGATTAATTTCAGATTAATTTGACAAAGTTTTTAATAATCTTTGAATTTACCGACTTTAATTTACGAAGAATCCGTCACATTCCATTTGTCATAATCAAACTGTTATCCCATCAGCGAGTGATTTTAGAAAAATAAATAAATAAAAGAAAAATGTCAGTTGCTCCGGAGATAATTCCACAAATACCGTAATGCATAAATTGTGGTTATCAAATAAATTCCCTCGAATGGAAAAAATTTATGTTTTTCATTTCAGATGATCACAATGAAACTTCGAAATCCCTCGACGACAGCTTCAATCTGGTCATCAGGAAAAATATCATGCACCGGAGCAGAGAGTGAGTCTGATGCCAAAAAAGCAGCAAGAAAAATAGCTAGGTGTCTAGCTAAACTAGGTTTCAATGTTAGATTCAGTAATTTTCGGGTAGTAAATGTACTTGGCACATGTCTCATGCCCTGGGACATCAGAATCAATCTCTTCTCGATGGCCCACAGAGAGCACGCAGAGTAAGTACTGCCTCCATTCCTCACCGATCACTGAATTTCCTAGTGCAAGTGGTAAAACCTAGCGCATTTATCTCAAGGACGTGGGGATTTAGAGTGTCTGAGAGAATGTCAAAAGACATTTTTTCCAAACGCACGAGTTACTGAGATAACTACAATCTAACAATTTGTGGAAAAAAAATTCTGAGGCACGTTTCACCACTTCAACTCTTACTTCTTCGGTTAAAAAATATGTCCACTGAGAAAAAGTTTTTTTGATAAGTACGTCTGCACTTGTATCAAGAAACTCTTGGCTCGAAAGTTGACGAGAGGAGAATATTTTATCCTGGAACAAGTGGACAATGGCTTTTATTGCTTATAAATTAGTAATTTACTTCCAAATGGGTTCTCTTTTTTGTCAACAAGATCTATGCGCGCGCTGATCTATTCATTTGTTGAAATGAAGAAATGGAATTCATTGAATTTAATTTTCTCATGAATACCTTATAAATATTGATAATGAATCAAAGAGAATTCGACTAATGATTGAAGTGAATAGCGAAGTAGAGTAAAAGAATCTATAAGGAATTTTTCATTTTCAATTAATTATCTTCAATTTTTTTAAATAATCGGTCTCCATAAAAGGACAGAATTTATTAATTTCACCGATGGTATATATACATGTGAAATATATATATATTATATATATATATATATATATATGACGTGAAAAAAAAAATTACTACTGAAGAATTTGAAATTATGTTACTGAAGAATTTGAAAATGCCACGTGTTTTTTTTTTTGTGAATAACTTCGTGTTTCTTTCATCTTTACTAAAAAAAAAATAGGATTCTTATTTTACTGTTCTTTCGTTCTATTTTTTCATGTCGTAGTACTATCATTAATTGAAATGTCATCAAAATTTTGCGTGTTCTTTCGTTCTGTCAAATAATTCTACATTGAGACCCTCTCAAGACTCGAATTCGTTTTCAGTCCGGGTTTAATCGAGGTTCAATCAAGGTTTAATCAGTGTATAGCCGGGATTTAATCAGGGTTTACTCAGGATTTAGCCAGAGTTTAAGCCAGGTTCTGTCAGAAGTTAGTCGGGAGCATGAATCAATATGAATAAGTATTCAACATAATAGACTAGTACCTGCGTTTAAATAGAGATTGAGATTTTGATATAAAAAGCTCATGACGGTATTGTGTGACTTGATAAGCAATGATGCTGTTCTTACCATTTATCAACTTGATTAAGAAGCCATTGAAATATACTTTTCAAGCCCTCATTTAATTGCTATTACTGATGATTCTTTCAGTAATCACGAAAAACCCGATTGTCTCTTTCAAATCGCATGAACGATGTGCTGTAACTCAACAATGAATTGTGCGACCCCCATCATATTCTGAAAGAATCAAGAGGATATTGTCATCAATTTTTTTAACCACAACCAATTCCATTTTGATGATAATTTTTTGAGTGATCGTTGAAAAATCGATTTTTGGAATTGTGTTAATTTTTTCGAATCTACAAGTAAAGACTTGAAAAATTATACAAGTAAAAACGTACTTCTCACAAAAATTTTCTTCCGAGTGTGCGCTGAAGTCAATTAATTACCGATTTTTGTCCGTTAGCTACGAGCCAGAGTTGCATCCTGGAGTGACGTATAAACTGACAGAGCCTAAAGCAACGTTAAAAATCTTCTCCACTGGCAATGTCACAATAACAGGTAGTTGTATCTTTATTTTGATCGAGAAATTTTCAGGTCTAGTTTCTGGGGAATAACTCGAAATCTAGAGATTATAGTTGAGTTTTCGTAAACTGAGAGAAAAACGACAAAGTTCTCAAACAAGTCTTACTTGTGCCAAGAAAATAGTTTTTCGAAAATTATCAAAAATTGATTTATTTGTGCCAAACAAGGGATAGTAGTTTTTCGTTTCGGCTGTCTAATAATCACAGACAACAAATGAACCCTTAAGGCCCGGGTGTACTATCTTTCAACGTTATCTCGATGTTTTTTTCATCTTTCGTCATCTGAAATTGTCAATTGAGTCCTGCATCATGCAGAAGTTTTGAAAAATTATGAACGAATAATCAAAAAAAAGTAGAAGAAATTCGCAATTTTTTCAAAGAGCATTTTTAATTTATATTCAGAATAAGTTGAATAACAAGAAATTGAAAAATGTATCTGATTTACGGTGACAAATGGCGGCCTGTCACCCAATATCATGCAGGGGGAAGACTGATTTCGTAAATATTTTCCCACACTGCACAGAGACATTTATTACGGAAAAGGCTCTTTGAAAAAAGTTGTAATATTTTGGAGAATTTTTTAATCACACTTTTATCACATAAAAATGGCAGATGACTACATACCACTGTTTTGAAAATTGAGATACCTAGCTGTCACTTCCCATGAGGAGTTAGTGTTTTGTTATCCACCATGGAAAATGACAGCTAATAGATAATTTGCCACAGCGAATCAGATATTTGTAATTTCCACTTTTTTCAACTCATTCTAAATCTCAATTAAAAACGCTCTTTGAAAAAGTTCAGAATTTTTTCTATTTTTTTTTATCATTCTATCATAATTTTTGGGAACTTCTACATGATGTACCACTCAATTGACAATTTTGGATTACGAAAGATAAAAAAAAAACAGATAACGTTCGAAAGATAATCAACCCGGGCCTTCAGTGCTAAATTCAACCAATTGATCAATTCAAAAATTGAAGAAAAAACTGTGGAAGATCATCATCGATAGTATTTTAAATATTCATCCCGCCTCAGAGGATTCCTCCGGCAATCAATAAAAATTCCTTTTCAAAAGTGGGAAATGTTTTTTTTTATTCTGCGATTTTCTACATTTTAATTTTCATGAAAACTGTTTGTATTTCTTTTCAGCGTCAAGTGTTGCTTTGGTAGCCAATGCAGTCGAGAAAATATTCCCTCTAGTCCAGGAATTTCGTAAGCCTCGTACACAGGAAGAACTCGCAGCGAGAAGACGCAGGGGGATTAAGCGCGCTCGCAGCACCTTCATAGAAGACAAAGACCCGATCGAGGAGTCCATCGCCACCGACATCGAGGAGGACGAGGAAATGGCCCTCGAGAGCGATGGAGACTGGGACTGAATCATTCGTCGAGTGAATTTTTCTCATTTTATTCATCGGTAAAATGGTCTTGAATGTACTGAAGTGTTCAATGGACAAAAACATGTTTTTTTCTCTTCAGTGAAGTGACGAAAATGGGCGAGGGAAATTTCATGAGAATGAAGAATTGAGGAATTGAATCGAGAAATAATTTTTTTTCCACTGGACATTGGTATTTCGACGATTCTCAATTTTTCTTTATCATTTGTTGATCATTATGTTGTGAAGTGGGTGATGAAAGAATATAGCTTCGATTTTTTTCGCTGAAATCCGGAGATGTTTCCACCGATGAAGGAGAGAAGAACATATTTGCAAAGAACATTGGAAAAATAATCGTAATTATTTAAACATTAAGTAAATTATCATCGACAGAGCATCGTTTATGTTCACAGTTTCATGCTAGCAATACGAAACCCCTTTATTATCGTTTATAGTAGCTATTCTTTCCTATTTTCGTTGGACGTAAGTCGGTGGAAATTGTGAAGTTGAAAAACAGAATGAGTTGATTTTTCATTTGTTTCTTCTGAATATCTCGACACGTTTGTGAATTATTTTCTTTTTTGAGAATTGTAACAGCCAAAAAAACATCTTCATAAAAATTTTCCCATTTTACTGGACTCAATGATTAAAATGTTTTCGCAGAAGTTTGATCTTTGAATCTGTGGGAGACGGAAAAATTTTTGTTGAGATATTTTTTGTGCTAAAATTTTAAGACCTACAAGGACATGTTTAGAAAAGCTGATGTAACTCATCCTGTTCCATAAAAAGTCACTTCTAAATTGATTTTTCAGTTGAATTTCACAAATTCTGAGGTGAAAAATTCACCATCAAAATTTCGGGGAGAGTTTGAAATTTAGATTTGGATTTTTCGCGAACACTTGTGCTGCTGGCATTCAATTTCCGCTTTTGTTTCGTATATTTTTCCTTTTTTACTTAATGTACTGTGCCAAAGATGGATGTTCAAAATTTGAGGTGAAGATTAGCAAACTTGTGGTGTTTTCTCATTCACTGAATGAAGAATAAGTTTATTTCATTTTTTTCTCATTGAATTTTGTTCATTTTTTGTTCGCTGATTCATGTCAATTCAATTCCATTCATTTTTACTTATTTTTGTTATTATTATTCTTGACGATAATTACAGTATTTCTTTAGGTAAATTAAATTTTATTATGATTTTTCATGACAATTATTACGACAGATCAGTGGTGGAGTGATTGAAACCGAATCGATATTTCATGGTTCGTCGTTTTCCCGAGAAAATGTGAAATTAACAAAGACGTAAACTTGGAGTTGTCATTTCACTGCTGAAATAATGATATTTTCGTTAAAAAATAGATGGAGTTGATGAAATGATGAGTAAAACAAGTTTGCTAATTGTATCGTTCAATTAAACAGCGGAAATGTTCCTAGTTTATTTAATAATTTAGTGAAGAAAGAGCGGTCCATCCCTGCTCGAGCATTTGTAATATTAGAACAAAATAAAAAGTGTTTCTTTAGATTTAGTATTAAATTTAGTTTCAATTGAATCTGTTTCAGTAATCATTGATCATTTATTTTCGACTCATTTTGTCGTTATCTCTGTCGAGCCCTGAAGTACGAATCATCATAGTTACTGGTTATTTTTCAGTTTAATTTTATCAGCGATCAATACGTAATCAAGTGGCAAAACGTAACGAGTGAAATTTTTCGTGAATTCGCAATTATCTCGGTAACGACTGGTTTTAGAGAAAATACACAGAAGACCATTTTTGTGGAGACAAAAATTTCCTACAAAATATGTCTCCTGACCTTTTGCCGTAAAACCACTCGTTAACGATGTAATTTAATATTTAATTAACAAGAGGTGAAAATTTTTGTTTTTTTTTACGTTTTATCATTTTATTACTGAAACGATCTCACGAGCACCGAATTAAATGGTTTCGATGGCATGATTATTCGTTCAAACAATTCAAGCACAAGTAACAAGAGAATTAACGTAATATTCCACGCGACAGGGTTTCATCCAGCTTCTTTCAATTTCGTAGGATTATAAAATTATCAAGTCTTATTATTTATTGTCATTCTCGTTAATTCTTATCAATCACATGGTAACACCACTTTAGTAATGCTACTTTAAGTTGTTTAAAGTTAATGATTAAAGTATAAGATCCCCTTGTATTTGTGAAAGTTATTTTTTTTTATTTTGAGAGGTGGAAATAACGGGGAATGATTGCTTTGGAATTTACCATGATGCTTCTAATGTTTATGATTACGAAAGTACTAATTCTTTATCGCTGAGACTTGAAGAACAAATTCATTAGTTGAGTAGATTGGCTAATCAATCATTTAATCATTGGAAGCAACGGTTTCTGGAGTGAAGTGGCTGATTGTGGAATATGTAAAATATAAAATTTGGTAATTACGTAATTATCTCGGTGATAAGGGAGTTTAGGAGAAAATATCTAGACTGTTTTTAAGAGAAAAACGAAGTTTCTGAAAAACAAAAGTCTTGACGTTTTCTCCTAAACCCACTTATTACCGAGGTAATCCCAATCTCAACGGGAATTCCACTCGTTACTCCACTTCACAACTGACTTGCCTCCATCTCTTCAAATTATCTCTCTCTCTTGTGCCATAGGGAACTGCATTTCATCATCAATTCATCGACAATTTCATTAATTCCTAATTAAGCTGAAGTCACTGCCTCTCAGCTCTTCTACAAAAAACTTTGTGAAATAATAAATAAAAAAGAGATTGTGAAAGCTAAAAATGGCACTTAATACCGGATCTCTCATGAATGAATTGAGGGAAGTAGTTGAAAACGAAACCGTAAAATTTAAACAATATCAAAAAATCAATAAAGACAATTAAATAGAGAAGATGATGATGCTTTCCTTGAGGATATCTGTTATGAACTACTGAATACTCGTGGTAGACTATATTTTATAACAAATTAATATTACGAATATGATATTTTTACCATGGGAAAAGTGTTGAAGTGTCTCCCAACGACGAAGAATAATGTAAAAATTTAATCAAAGAGCTGTCGTGTCTGCTCTCTTTGGCACAGTCGACAGTTGCACGAAGGAACATTGAGGCAAAATTAAGAATTACAAATAAAGGAAATGAGCAATCAAGTTGTGGTAATGTGACAAGTCAAACGGGACATTTTCGCTAAGGCCCGGGTGTTCTATCTTTCGAACGTGATCTCGATGTTTTTTTTCATCTTTCGTCGTCTGAAATTGTCAATTGAGTCCTGCATCATGCAGAAGTTTTGAAAAATTATGAATGAATAATCAAAAAAAAGTAGAAGAAATTCGCAATTTTTTCAAAGAGCATTTTTAATTTATATTCAGAATAAGTTGAATAACGAGAAATTGAAAAATTTGTCTGATTTACGGTGACAAATGGCGGCCTGTCACCCAATATCATGCAGGGGGAAGACTGATTTCGTAACTCTTTTCCCACACTGCACAGAGACATTTATTACGGAAAAGGCTCTTTGAAAAAATTTGTAATATTTTTGAGAATTATTTAATCACACTTTTATCACATAAAAATGGCTGATGACCTCATACCACTGTTTTGAAAATTGAGATACCTAGCTGTCACTTCCCATGAGGAGTTAGTGTTTTGTTATCCCCCATGGAAAATGACAGCTAATAGATAATTTGCCACAGCGAATCAGATATTTGTAATTTTCACTTTTTTCAACTCATTCTGAATCTCAATTAAAAACGCTCTTTGAAAAAGTTCAATTTTTTCTATTTTTTTAAATCATTTTATCATAATTTTTGGTAATTTCTACATGATGTACCACTCACTTGACAATTTTGGATTACGAAAGATAAAAAAAATCCAGACAACATTCGAAAGATTGTACACCCGGGCCTTACGCTGTTTTTTTCGTGAACTGGTGATTCTGGAGGAAAATGTCAATTCATAATTAACAAAGTGATATTGATTGGCTTATCATCCTTCATCACTTCAATTCAAGAATGTATCCTCCTGTACTTTCGTTCTTATCAAAACGTAGAAAGTCATGGTGGTGAAAAACTATTTAACATAAATAATAGATTACGAGGATTATCAGTTGTACGTTATGACATCGAAATACGTACAGGTCACTCTTAGGGTAATTAAATGTCCTAGAGGAATGATTAATCACGAGAAACGATGGAAATGAGTTTTGAAACCCCTGATAACGCAGGTGCATTCTGTCATTGAATTAAATGAGATAATTAGTAATGAAAAATTTCTTTTCGCGAATTTTGACGGAGAAGTTGAGAGTTTCTCCTTCGATTTCGACCCAAATTTGCTCATATTATCAACAAAAAATATCAAATTTAAATGATTGAGGTAATTAACTCATTTAATTTAATCTCAACGTAAATTTAAGGGAAAACAAAGAATTAGGTAATTGAAGGAATCATTAGAAATATAGTTCGAGTGACGCACACTGAAGTCCCGAGGGGATTAGAGGCACATGTGTATGTTCAACGCACGTATGCATCATCTGCCAGTGCCTAAAGGTTGATTCATCAGTGAATTTGTTGATTAATCAATAGAAATCCACTGATTGAAGTGTAAATCGTGAAGAATGAAAAAAAAAATTTGTTCATTCTTTGAGAAATGTCAAAAGACCTTTTTTGTGGGGGAAAAAATTTCCCAAAAAAATGCCAACGTTTTTCGACATTTTTCTCTAGAATCAACTGCTTTTCAAGTATTCGCGTTTCACTACTTCAAGGCAAAAACCATGGGAAGAGAAACGTAATGTATGTGTATGCAAGACTGCTGTGAGATGTAAATGAGGAAGATAATTACTTGAAGAAGATAAAAATGAAACTTTGTATGTAAATTGGAAGAAATAAACAGTTGAACTCTGATTATTATCAAATTATTTCGTTCATTTATTCACAGATCAAGAGAATTCACACATTTTTCCTCTCGATACGGAAATTTTAAGTTATTCATGTAAAAAAAAATGAAAATACAATTACTCTAATAGAGCTGTCTTTAAACCTTCAACATCTTAAAAATATTCTTAGAAAACTAATAATACCGAAACCCACTGATTCTCAATTTCAATCTGTTGAGAATTGAATTACCAAGCGAATATTGGGCGGAGGTAAAATGAGAAAGGAAATTTTTATTGGAGAATTTTCTGAGATGCAGAAAGAGGACTCGACATTTTCTTCGAAGCCATTAAAATCTCCACTTTTCCTCCACATGCTCTTCCCTCTCCCATCATTATCCCTCTTTCCCGTCACTCGAAAGGCTGATCAAACTGTTCGATAAACTCACTGATATTTGGAAAATACTGCTGAGCCATCACCAAGGCAGCCTCCTTACTCGAGATGTCCAGCCCAGTCTGCCCCAGTGTATAAATATAAGGAAGAAAAGCAATATGCCTCATGATGTCGTGTCTCCCATCAGCATCCTCAGGCAGCAGCTCCTCGATTCCCTCAGCCATCCCGCGGAAGAACCCCCCACGCCTCCCCGAGAAGACCCTCGAGTTCCACAGAGCGTTCCCCAGGTCGTTGCCATACCCCAAGAGCCTCTCCACCTCCTCTGCAAACTCTCCCCTGACCCCCATCCTCATGAGTTCCATGCAAGTTTCTCTGTACTTCAGCAGTAATCCACAGACTTTGGAGATCAGAGCACAACTTCTGCTGCAGAAGGTCCCATAAATCACGGCTGGAGGCGCCAGGATGAGGCCCGGAGTCTCGGAGGACTCTACGAGCATGTGGACCTCCTCGTAGAACCCTAGGGCTTCGTTGAGGATCAGAAGATCGTTGCAGGAGGCGTTCAACCCCCTGAGGATGAGGTTCTCGGCGATGGCGAGGGTGGGGGGGAGGAGATCTGTCAGTTCGCTCGTCGGTTTCTGCCCCAGGAAGGGCGAAGACTGGACCTCACCAATCCCGAAGTTCTGGTTGACGAAGATGTTGCGGAGGAACTTACGCAGGGAGCGAATTATCTGACATCTTTGGGGGAGGCTGGACTCGAGGAAGATCTCCTCGAGGTGGGGGGCGAGGTTCTCCTGCAGGTCTGTCACGCTGATCTGCGTGCACCACTCGAGGAGGCCGAGGAGGTGGGGGCGGTACTCGGCGGACTCGTAGGGGAGGTACTCCAGGAGGAAGCGGAGGACCACGGGATTCCCCTGCTGCATGTACCTGGGGGGCAGAGGATTCATCAGGTTTCGGCGGGGGAAAAGAAGTGATGACAATAGATACTTTGACGTTCTGAATGGGAAAATTGCATCTTTTTTTTTTCATTTTTCAATCACAGGTTTTGTCGATTCATGGGCGATCAATTGGAGAGAAACTGACGGACTCGATTTGAAAATTAGATTTTTGGACTTTCTGGATCATAGTTAGAGATGCGCAGGCGTCATGTGACCGGCCATCACAATTGGCCGAAAAACTGTGACGGTCATTTTGCCTCTATATAGATGAAACACTTTTTTGGTCATCTATTTTTTTTCTAATCAACTAGAACTCTGAAAATATCTCATGTAGAGGAAAATTTATCAACAAATATTTTATCCCCAAGTTACAAGATTGCTATCATATCATCATTATTGTGTCATTTAAGGGTTCATTTGCTGTCTGTGATTATTAGACAGCCGAAACGAAAAACTGCTATCCCTTGTTCCGCATAAAACAGAGATTTTTCGGGAGCGAATTACGTATGGGAGTATCAAATAACGAAGTAGTAGTGCTAGAAATGGCATTTCTTGCGTGTACAGAGAATTTTTTTCACCTACCAAATCTATTTCTGCGACAAAAATTTTTCATTCCGGCGCACTCTGCCTGTTTGGCCCAAAAAATCCTCTTTTGATAATTTTCAAAAAGCTATTCTCTTGGCACAAGTAAGACTTGAATTCCCCATAGGATTTTTTCATCCATGATAAACCCAGATGACCTTTGAAAAAAATTGCTCACCTGCAGAACTCGATCGTCATCTCCAGCAGTTGAGTCTTCTGAGCCTTCGAGAACCTGCTGCACTCCAGGATGAAAGCCCACCTCAGAGTGTTATAAAGATTATGCGAAAATCTGCTCTGGTACTCGAAGTTGGCGAAGGTCAGGAAGTGGTAGCCGGCAGTATTCGCCAGTAAAGAAGTGGCATTTGTTGGCAACTCCACACTAAAGTAGTACCTCCCCACATCGACGATATTGCTCAGATCGAAGATGGATTTTGTCGTTTTGTCCCGATATATGCTGGAGCCCATCTGGAAGTATCTGATGGAGGGGAGTAGTTGCTCTGTCGTCTTGCCCTTCGAGAGCTTCATCGGGTTCCAGTCGAAGTGCTCTTGGCCCTGGACGACGGTCTGGGAGCTCCTGCTCTTGGCGTCCTCGAAGCCTAGGCGAAAGACCTCGGGGATGGGCTTCCAGACACTTTCGAGGTTGAGAGAGGGGATCTTCTCTGGGACTAGCTCGGGCTTGTAGGACTTGAAGAGGGAGAGGAGGGCTGACAGGTGCTTCGGGGGCTTCGTGTACTTGTCCTGGAGGCGCAGCAGACGAGTCACCTGACGACGAGTCACGTCTTCTGGTTTTGTGAGGAGGTAGACGAGCTTTGCTGTCGGGGATTCCTGGGAATAAAGGGATCGGTATCAAGGGCATCTGTCATTAGTTTTGGGAATATTTGGGTTGACATTTGAAAATTGTACAGCAGGTCATTTTAATTTTCTGAGTGATTGTGGATTGGGTAATTGAAAATATGGGGTTGAAAATTGAGTATTGGATTATAATTGAAAATATGGGATTGTAAATTGACTGTTGGACTAATACCGTTTCACCATTTCGCTGCTGAATTGAATAATTGAACTGAAATTTCAGTGGAACTTAAATTTTTCAAGTCTCGAAGAAGAAGAATTACGACTTTTTAAATTATGAACATGCGAAGCATCCCGTTATTTCCCAATGACGAAATTCCTTGAAATTTCAGCAGGGGAGGGTGGGGTATAAAGAGATCGGTATCAAGGGCATCAATCATTAGTTTTGGGAATATTTGGGTTGACATTTGAAAATTGTACAGCAGGTCATTTTAATTTTCTGAGTGATTGTGAATTGGGTAATTGAAAATATGGGGTTGGAAATTGAGTATTGGATTATAATTGAAAATATGGGATCGTAAATTGACTGTTGGACTAATACCGTTTTACCATTTTGCTGCTGAATTGAATCATTGAACTGAAATTTAAGTGGAACTTAAAGTTTTCAAGTCTCGAAGAAGAAGAATAACGACTTTTTTAATCATGAACATGCGAACTCTGATTATTATCAAATTATTTCGTGCATTTATTTACAGAATTAAGGGAATTCACACATTTTTCCTCTCGATACGGAAATTTTAAGTTATTCATGTAGTAAAAATACAATTACTCTGACAGAGCTGTCTTTAAACCTTCAACATCTTAAAAATATTCTTAGAAAACGGGAAACCATCCCGTTATTTCCCAACGACGAAATTCCTTGAAATTTTAGCAGGGGAGGGTGGGGTAAAACGGACACTTGATATTTAAAGAAATATTTATAACTCAGAGACAGATTTATCAATTGAAATCAGTTTAGGCTCAACATAAAGGGAAAGAACTTTTGTTTTTATTGAACAATAAAAATAAACATTTCACTAACAATTTAACCTGTCATTAAACAAATAACTCGAGTTCTGTCCATCCGATTTTGATTTATTAAGCGTCAAAATTTTTCATTTTTTACTGCCTATAAAAATATTTTTAGTAAAAAATTTTTCTTCAGGGACTCATAATAAATTTTTGAAAAAATGTGGAAAAAGTTGAATTTTGCAAATTATCTCACATCTGATTTGTTCAATTTTTTTCAGTAATTCTTATAATTAAAATGAGTATTTTGAGCCATCATAGGAGTTAGGGATTGTCCTGGATCTATTTTATTTTCAATTTTTTTCTTTTCGAAATTCCGCAAATTTGGTCAAAACACCCGAAAATGGCGTTGATTGACTTTGATTATAGACAGCATGAAGTGAATTTGACTGTATAGCTATACATATTTCTTCGATACATGATCAAAGTCGTTTTGGGGTTTTTCGACCAAATTAGAGAATCTCGAGAAGAAAAAATTGAAAATAAAATAGATCCAAGACGATCCCCAACCGTATGGCGGCTCAAAATACTTGTTTTGATTATAAGAATTACTGAAAACAATGAACTAAATCAAAAGCGACATAATTTGCAAAATTCAACTTTTTCAACTTTTTTTTCTCCAAAAAATCGTTATTGTGAGCATCTAAAGATCGAAAAAAAAATTTTACGAAAATTTCGCCATCTTCCTTAGATTTGGAAATATTCCTCAAAAACTCAACTGGGAGATGAGTCGACTTATCTCCGTTTACGACTTCACTACTGAATTTCAAGAGGGCACCTCTCGCCAAAAATTTCTTACCAATCGCTCCTTCTTCAACATATTATGGAAGAAGCAGTCGTAGTACACGTTGATAGTCTGCCTGTCCACCAGCTGGTACTCCCAGAGTCCCGTCAACCACTGAAGGACAGTACTGGCGACAGTAATTGGAAGATCATTCCACTTGTGGAGCCAGAAATTTATCACACTCTCCACGATCTTCTCAGGGATCTTCTTCCTGGGGATGAGGCAGTGGATGAGGGGCACGCAGAGCCCAGCTCGCAAATCGGTGCTCGCTATCACGTCCACGATGGACTCAATGTCTTCAGTCTCGAGGCCTCTCGTCGCTGCCTCATCCTTGAGAATTGTTATCGCCTCCTCCGTTCCAACGGCTCTCTTTCCCTTCGTGGTTTTCAATTCCTTCAGCCTCCTGAGGGCTCCAGCCTTTCTGTCGTCGTTCGACATTCTTGCGGAAATCCTCCTCTATTTTCTGAGGAGATTCTTGGGAGGAGAACAATTGGTTTGGGGTTTTCATTACATTTTTTATTCTAAAAGTTGGTTTGGATTTTTCTATTAGGGGAGGGGGCGGCAATATGGACATATGGGGTAAAATGGACTTGGAAAATTTCCAAAAAAGTTTTTTTTTCAAAATTAAAATTATGGAAAATTGTTTTATTGGGCAATATGGACATATGGGGTAAAATGGGCTTAAAAAATTTGGAAAAAAAAATTTTTTGTTTAAAATTTAAAATTTTGGAAAATTGTTTCATTGGGCAATATTGACATATGGGGTAAAATGGGCTTAGAAAATTTGGAAACAAATTTTTTTTTCAAATTTAAAATTTTGGAAAATTGTTTCATTGGGCAATATTGACATATGGGGTAAAATGGGCTTAGAAAATTTGGAAACAAATTTTTTTTTCAAATTTAAAATTTTGGAAAATTGTTTCATTGGGCAATATCGACATATAGGGTAAAATGGACTTGGAAAATTTGCAAAAAAAAATTTTGTTTTTAAATTAAAATTTTGGAAAATCGTTTCATTAGGAAATATGGACATATGGGGTAAAATGGGCTTTAAAAATTTGGAAAAAAAATTTTTTGTTTCAAATTTAAAATTTTGGAAAATTGTTTCATTGGGCAATATCGACATATGGGGTAAAATGGGCTTAGAAAATTTGGAAATTTTTTTTTTTTTCAAATTTAAAATTTTGGAAAATCGTTTCATTGGGCAATATCGACATATGGGGTAAAATGGGCTTAGAAAATTTGGAAATTTTTTTTTTTTTCAAATTTAAAATTTTGGAAAATTGTTTCATGGGGCAATATGGATGCTTTAACTTACAACTCCTACGACGCCGTCTTATGACAATGTGTTAGTTTTTTACAAACGGAACAGTAGATTTGATCCAATTCAACTTATTATTTAACTCTAATGTCCACATAGCCCCCCTCACCCCTATATTTTTGATGTTGTGAAATTTACCTCGGGTTTTTCCATTTGAATTCCGATTTTTTGGGAAAATTTTGAGGTTCTTAAGGGATTTTGGGTCGTTCCGGAGATTTTGATGGTATTGGAGATGTTCAATCTGCGGGGAAACCACTGAATTTTCGTTGCAGTAGTCATTCGTGCACTTATTCTTAGGTTTCAACACTTTTCGATGCTTTGTTCGTGGCTTTTTCTACGGTTTTCTGGTTTTTGTTTGAGAGTTTCCGAGTTCAACTGTCAAAACTTCTGAAGTTATGATTATTGTTATGATTCTGAGAGGTTTCCCGCCAATTTTGGGACTGGTGCTGCCACGGTAGTGAGAGAGAGAACTAAAGTGTTTCGAATAAGAATAGATTTTTTCGGTTGTTGTTGATTATGTCGAGAATGGAGGGTTCTAAGGGAAAATGTCAAAGAACATTTTCTGTGGTGAATTCAATTTTCTACAGAAAATATTTTCTGACATTTTTCGATACAGCCACTCATTACGGAGATAATCGCCAATTAACGATAAAGAATTCTGCAGTTGATCTGGTTAATTTCCGACTTGAAAGTTTGACGACCAACATTGCCCCAACGTTGGCAACCAATATTGCCCCAACGCTGGCAGCCAACATTCCCCCAACGTTGGCAGCCGATATTGGCCCAACGTCGGCCGCCAACATTGCCCCAACGTTCAAATTTTTTACCTTTCCCTGACTAATAATTGCAAAATAAATTTTTTCAACAACAGATGATCCAATCAATCTCATGCTGGAACTCGTTAAAAATGGGATTGGCAAGAATATTTTAAAACCCAATTGGACTCATTTAACCAATTATTTTTTCAGTTATCGTTGAAAAACTATTTGTTGCATACACACATAAAAAAATAGTTATCTCATAATAACCCAAAAAAAAATCTTGGGTTATTAATCAAAAAAAAAATTACAAATTTTTCAGTCAAAAAACAAAAAAAAAATTTTTTTTTGGGTTTTTGACCGAAAAAATGGGAAATTTCGGATTTGACGAACACAGTGGTTCCATTCATAAGCAAAATATAAACGATTAAAAATCTTTCATTATGAAAGCAGAAAAAAATGAAGAAATCATTTAATTTTCGAAACGACCGGTCCTTACGCTCCATCCTCACGAGAAAAATCCCCTCATGAGTACTCACCCACAGCCTCAACTTCGCACAAACTGGCGATAACTTCATTGCAAACTGAACGTTCTCCTGTCAACATTGACTCTGAGATGTGGGAATTACGTTTAAACAACAATATAAACGAGTGACAGTAGCTCAAGCACTTGTAATAGTGAGTGACAATGTGGCAAACGAGAATGGACATGTCTCGAGACGAGTGCAGAAAGTGTCTCAGGTGTCTCGGTGAGGTTATGTTTATTCAACTAGAGCATCATCTCCAATTACTCCACGATTATTCTCAATTGAATCAGTTGCTGTCGATTTTCCCTGTCATTTCCTCATTCCCTTCGTCAATAGCCCCTTGTCCCACACCCTGGCCCTTCCATTGTCCCTTGGAGATGGTGATGGAACACTTTGAGTGCTCCCGATTTTATGCAAATTTGTTGCCAATTTTGAAGATTTTTTAGTGCTTTCGTGGAAGAGTCGTTCGTGATTTCTGGGGTTTTATGGATTTTTTATTTGATTTTTTTTGTGAGGCAGAGTTGGATGCGTATGGGAACATGGTTTCGGTGCTGAGGGCTCAGGGATCCTTCACGGAGGACAAGAAGAGACTCCTCGAGGAGCTGGCGAAGGTACTTCATATCTCGAATGAACGACACAGGGCTGAGGTCAGGCGGGCTGCCAACGATGAGAAACTCTCGATTATTGCTGAACAGTGAGTTTTTCTTCCTCATCTGGAGCATTCGTACCTTTTAGCTTATTCTGGTAAAAAAAGAGTCGTGCAAGTGCAAACACACGGTCACAAAATTATTCGTCGAGTTCTTAAAGTAGCTCTGCTCTTACGGTAAATTCAGAGATTATTGAAAACTGCAAAATAATTGCAGAAAACTCGATTAGATTCGGAATTCCAATTTTTTTTATCGATGTAATTGTCGTTTTGGTTTTTCAAAGAAGAAATGGTTAAAAATCAGGATTTAACCCAGTGTCTTATGTGAAAATCAACATTTCCATTGTAATAATTCACCGTTTTGCAAACAAGTTTTATTATTTATTTATGAGAGGGAAATGTTTGAACAAATATCAGTATTTTGCGAAATTTAAGGCCCGGGTGTACTATCTTTCGAATGTTATCTGGATTTTTTTCATCTTTCGTAATCCAAAATTGTCAGTTGAGTGGTACATCATGTAGAAATTCCCAAAAATTATGATAGAATGATAAAAAATAGAAAAAATTCTGAACTTTTTCAAAGAGCGTTTTTAATTGAGATTCAGAATGAGTCGAAAAAAGTGGAAATTACAAATATCTGATTCGCTGTGGCAAATTATCTATTAGCTGTCATCAGGCTCTCATCTGGAGCATTCGTACCTTTTAGCTTATTCTGGTAAAAAAAGAGTCGTGCAAGTGCAAACACACGGTCACAAAATTATTCGTCGAGTTCTTAAAGTAGCTCTGCTCTTACGGTAAATTCAGAGATTATTGAAAACTGCAAAATAATTGCAGAAAACTCGATTAGATTCGGAATTCCAATTTTTTTTATCGATGTAATTGTCGTTTTGGTTTTTCAAAGAAGAAATGGTTAAAAATCAGGATTTAACCCAGTGTCTTATGTGAAAATCAACATTTCCATTGTAATAATTCACCGTTTTGCAAACAAGTTTTATTATTTATTTATGAGAGGGAAATGTTTGAACAAATATCAGTATTTTGCGAAATTTAAGGCCCGGGTGTACTATCTTTCGAATGTTATCTGGATTTTTTTCATCTTTCGTAATCCAAAATTGTCAGTTGAGTGGTACATCATGTAGAAATTCCCAAAAATTATGATAGAATGATAAAAAATAGAAAAAATTCTGAACTTTTTCAACGAGCATTTTTAATTTATATCCAGAATAAGTTGAATAACAAGAATTTTTTTTTCAAATTTTATTTTATTTTCAATTTTTTTCTTTTCGAAATTCTGCAAATTTGGTCAAAACACCCGAAAATGGCGTTGATTGACTTTGATTATAGACAGCATGAAGTGAATTTGACTGTATAGCTATACATATTTTTTCGATACATGATCAAAGTCGTTTTGGGGTTTTTCGACCAAATTTGAGAATCTCGAGAAGAAAAAATTGAAAATAAAATAGATCCAAGACGATCCCCAACTCGTATGGCGGCTCAAAATACTTGTTTTGATTATAAGAATTACTGAAAACAATGAACCAAATCAAAAGCGACATAATTTGCAAAATTCAACTTTTTCAACTTTTTTTTCTCCAAAAAATCGTTATTGTGAGCATCTAAAGATCGAAAAAAAAATTAGAGCGTTTTTAATTGAGATTCAGAATGAGTTGAAAAAAGTGGAAATTACAAATATCTGATTCGCTGTGGCAAATTATCTATTAGCTGTCATTTTCCATGGGGGATAACAAAACACTAACTCCTCATGGGAAGTGACAGCTAGGTATCTCAATTTTCAAAACAGTGGTATGTAGTCATCAGCCATTTTTATGTGATAAAAGTGTGATTAAAAAATTCTCCAAAATATTACAAATTTTTTCAAAGAGCCTTTTCCGTAATAAATGTCTCTGCGCAGTGTGGGAAAAGATTTACGAAATCAGTCTTCCCCCTGCATGATATTGGGTGACAGGCCGCCATTTGCCACCGTAAATCAGATAAATTTTTCAATTTCTTGTTATTCAACTTATTCTGAATATAAATTAAAAATGCTCTTTGAAAAAATTAAGAATTTCTTTTACTTTTTTTGATTATTCATTCATAATTTTTCAAAACTTCTGCATGATGCGGGACTCAATTGACAATTTCAGATGACGAAAGATGAAAAAAAAACATCGAGATAATGTTCGAAAGATAGTACACCCGGGCCTTTACAAAAATCCCCAACATATTTTTTTTTTCGAAATGAATTTTTCTTTGGCAATTTTCAACTGGCGATTTTGTTGGCCCAAACAAGACTTGTTTGACAACGTGATTGTTCTTCTCTCAGTGTACCATTCTGTAAAACATACTTGGATATATTTAATAGAACAACGATTCGATTTCTGTTCCGTAGATTAAATGGTCCAAATACCTGGACAGATTGGGCGATCGAGGGAAGGAGAACAATTCCACTATTACCTCGATTGAAAGCGCATACTGCATTCACCGGACTGGCGAATAGTTTATCGCTGGTCATTGCTACTGCGAATGAGAAGAAGGTGCCATTTGAGGAGAAACGAGCAGAACCAATAGGTAAGACTGAATAAAATTCTGTCCACATATACAATTATCTCGATAATCATCAAGTTGAGAGCACCATGTCAAGTGACATTTTATTAGAGAATTTAAGGCCAGGTTGGATGATCTTTCAAATGTGATCTAGGTCCTTTTTGTCAATTTATTTCTGTGGAAATCTCCATTCGCTTGCGCATAACGCAGAGAATTGCAAAAATATAATATATTTAGTTATCGTTTTGGTTTTTCAAAGGAGAAATGTTTAAAAATCAGGATTTAACCCAGTGTCCTATGTGGAAATCAACATTTCCATTGTAATCAAAGATTAAAATCTGAATTTTTGTTCATTAGATGTGAAAAAATGAAGAATTTATTTGACACCTTTTGCGAACAAGTTTTATTATTTATTTATAAGAGGGAAATGTTCGAAAAAATATCAATATTTTGCGAAAGTTAATTTAGATAATATTGACTGGGTATGAATTTGTTCAAATTTTTTCCGCGCAATTTAGTTGAAAAATTAAAAAAATAAAAATATCAAAAAGTACAGCGTAGCCCGGCCGAAGAGTAGAGCCACTTTAAGTTGTCATTTTTTCCTAGTATTTCATTTCAGTAGCGAAGTGGTAAAAGGAGATAAGTTAATTTTGACTATTGACCAGTTTTTAACGATTATCTCGGAATCTAAGGGAGCTAGCAAAATGTTTGTTATAACCTTTTTTGTGGAGCCGATTGAGTGCTACAACAAATGTAATTACGAAAATTTCGCTATCTCTCTTAGATTTGGAAATATTTCCCAAAAACTCAACCGGGAGATAAGTCGACTCATCTCCGTTTACCACTTCACTACTGATTTTGTCCCAGTCCCCTCTAATTGATAATTGGTTGAAGTTAAAGCAGAGACAACATCTCAAAACGACCTGGTGGCTTCCGAGAAGCCCCCACAGAAGCCTCAGCTCTCTCAACCCAAAACACGTGGAAGGAAACGAAAAAAATCTTTACCAGAGAATTTCCAAGACCTGAAAAATCCCAAACTGAGTACCAGTGATATGAACAATCATGGTGCAATTATTAACTCGATTATTAACGAATTAAGTAGAGAAGTAAGAACATCGCCGTCCCCACTGCCGTTGAACTCTGTCGAGGTAAATCTAATTTCACCTGTTCACCTTGTAAAATGCCGAAAAAACACCTAAAAATTTTTCTCTCCTTCAGGCTGTAAAGAGCAATGAAAGGTCAATATCAAACTCTCCAGAAGCCCCTCAACGCCCTGGAGACGCCCCAGAGACACCCCAAAATTGTACAGTTCCTCCGAAAGATAAACTCCACAATAACGAAAGCACAGATACAATAATTTGCCAGTTAGAGATAAATCGAACGCCAGACACTGCCATCGCAAAAACCCCCTACAATGTTAATTACGAATCTGAGATAAATTCAGAACGCCTGAGTACAGAGGTGAATTCACATGAACATAAAGACGTAATAATGAGAATCGAAGAGGAGATGGTGGACATCAAAGAAGAGGTAAATAGAATTGGGAAAAATGAAGTGAATAGAGTTGATGAGGGAGAGAGTAAGGTCGAGGAGGAGATGAGGGATGAGGATTTACTGAGAACGTCGAATGCATCGAGTGTGCAGAGGATACAAAGTACAAATTGCGAGAGGAAATATTCGGATGTTTCTAGTAGTTTAGAGGGGCTTGAGGACGTCAGTGAGGATAATTCAAGGTCTAGTGGGCCTGGACCCGCTGAGGAGGAGGGGGAGACGGTAGACGGGAGTCATCCGAGGGTTGAAGTGCTCAAGGATCCATCAGGAATGAAGAAGGTACACAATTCCATCAGATTTTTGCTTCTGAATAGAAAGTTTGTAATCGTTTGTGATCACAGGGATAGCCATATCCACAGATTATAATTACTGTTATAAGAACGTTATCTCGATGATTTTTTTCATCTTTCGTCATCTGAAATTGTTAATTGAGTCCTTCATCATGCAGAAGTTTTGAAAAATTATGAATGAATAATAAAAAAAAAAAAGTAGATCTTCCTAAAAAAATTCATGCGTAATCCTTGTTTCTAGAGGCTTAAACTGAACTCCAATAGCACAATAAATATCAGCAGCTTGAAAAACTCTCGATTGGGGTTGAAAACAAATATCATTATGGTACAAAAAGGGGTGAAGTTGTCTCACGCTGGAAAGGTAAAAGGAATTTATCACCAGTTTCATCTAATTATCGCCTCATCTATTCATTTATTTTAGAAGAATTATGAAAAGTTGCATTTTACAATAATTAAGGTTTACTCATCTTCATTGAACATTTAAATCTGATAAATATCAAAATAATTGATCATTTGAATTGAGTGATTGACGGTATGGAACAGTCAATTGACTATTGAGTAAATGATTCTAAATTTCATGAAAGTATTTTCTCGGCTAGCCAAATAATCGTCAATCTTCCGAACTCAATTATTAATTGTTAAATTGTAAAGATAAGAAAATTTGAATATTTAATTAATTTATATATTTGATTAATTTAATACAATGATTTTATTATTTAAACTTTGCAGGTCTGAATTTGAATCTCTATATTGAACCGTTAGAAAACATTTGAAGAATCTAAAAAAAATAGAAAGTGTACTTTTGGAGAAAGATTGATGAGATAATTAAAAAATTGTAATTTTTGAAAATTACGAGCATTTTCTACAAATAATTTATAAACAATCAATTTCCAACCGTAAAAATCATTGGTTCGGAATCCTAACAAATTTATTCATATTTAGAATATTGCCCGGAATCGATTTCATGCCTAAAAAAATGAGTTTTCCCAAAATTTGAAAAATTTCAATTATTTATTTATAAACAACCAATGTTTAAGAAAATAATTTTGTGCAAAATGGAATTTTAATGACGCTGAATATTCATGATTTTCTCACACAATTTAATTGACAAATTTGAACAGTAACGATGATAGGGCGCTCGGATATCCTTAATTTTCCATTTTTTTTTAAATCACAAAAAATGGCTATTACCTGTCGTTTTCGAGAGTATAGACAATTTATGAAAAGACATCCCAACTTTCTCGAATCAATCGAAGTCAAGAGTCAATTGTTACCTCAATTATCATTCATGATTACAGGATATGTTAAATAAAGTAATTGCAGACGATAGCCTACGAATCTCCAATAAACCCCCGGTGATACCTCACCATAGTCTCCCGAATAATAACGAACAGGCGATAAATTCAGACGTTAAGCAATCAGTGGATGCTGTTGTATTAGACATCAGGCAGGATGATTTAGATTTAGAGAACCACAACGAGGATTGCTTTGAGCCGGCGGACGAGACAAACTCCAAGACTAATTCGATTGATTCAGTGGGGGAGCAGAGTCAAGACTGTGGTGATGAGGCGGCTGTAAAAACTGAAGATTTTATGCAGAATGTTAAGCACGGACTGGGGGTTGTGATCACTGAAGATAATGAGCAAAGGTGAATTTGACGGATTATTTTAGGAGGGACAGAAAAAAATGGAATATTTTACTCCCAAGGCATTTTACCCTTAAGGCCCGGGTGTACTGTCTTTCGAACGTTATCTCGATGTTTTTTTTCATCTTTCGTCATCTGAAATTGTCAATTAAGTCCTGCATCATGCAGAAGTTTTGAAAAATTATGAATGAATAATTTTAAAAAAGTAGAAGAAATTCTTAATTTTTTCAAAGAGCATTTTTAATTTATATTCAGAATAAGTTGAATAACAGGAAATTGAAAAATGTATCTGATTTACGGTGACAAATGGCGACCTGTCACCCAATATCATGCAGGGGGAAGACTGATTTCGTAAATCTTTTCCCACACTGCGCAGGGACATTTATTACGGAAAAGGCTCTTTGAAAAAAGTTGTAATATTTTGGAGAATTTTTTAATCACACTTTTATCACATAAAAATGGCAGATGACTACATACCACTGTTTTGAAAATTGAGATACCTAGCTGTCACTTCCCATGAGGAGTTAGTGTTTTGTTATCCGCCATGGAAAATGACAGTTAATAGATAATTCGCCACAGCTAATCAGATATTTGTAATTTCCACTTTTTCCAACTCATTCTGAATCTCAATTAAAGACGCTCTTTGAAAAATTTCACAATTTTTTCTATTTTTTTTATCATTCTATCATAATTTTTGGGAATTTCAACATGATATACCACTCAATTGACAATTTTGGATTACGAAAGATAAAAAAAATTGAGATAACATTCGAAAGATAGCCGTTTACCACTAAATCGTTTACCACTTCGCTACTGAATTGAATCGACCTCTATGGGACTGATGAATATATTTTAATTGCAGTAATGACATCTCTGGGCATGAGAATTGTGTGGAAAAGGCGGAGGAAACGATTGAAATCAGTGGGGAAGCTGTCGGTGAGGGAATACTCATCGAGCAGGAGAATGAGACTGTCCTAATTGATGCTCAAACAGAAATATACAATTTCGAATCGACTGGTGAGTCATTCAACCATGAATTCTGCGAATATCAGGAACTAGTTTTTGTAAACCCGTCTTTAAAACGACCTTTTGATCTCCTCAGATGACACCGTTTGTGAAATTCAAATAGATGAAACAGTTCCAACGTCCACCCTGGACCTCTTCACGACCCCCTTGACCTCGAAAGCCATAGCCCTCGAAAACTACACGTACGAAGAGGAGACGGAGACCCTCGAGGATAATCCCCCACCAGTGCAGACGTCCAACGTCGAACAGCTCAATCATCACGACTCGTAACAAATTAGATCATAACGGAAAAGCCCTAAATTGTTGAATTCTTCAATCACCCGTGGGAAAAAAAACAGTGAAAAATCATCATAACGTACCACAGCTTGAAGAATATTATTAATATATATTTTATACGTGTATATGTAAGTTTCGATGGATTTTGTTCAACGGTAACAGCGTTATCAACATTTTTTTTTTATTTATGCAGAGAGAATAATCGATGTCAGATAAATTATTAGTGTAATCAATGGCTTTTGGAAAGAGCAGATTTATTTTTAAAATACGCGGATTGCTCATTATTGAATTCGTAATCTAAGTTATGGAAATAAGTGCCAAGAATATTTTTTGCAAGATTTCGTATTAAGAAAATTGATAAAATGGAAACGATTTTAATTATGAAAATGGAAATAAAATGTTTTTTTGTGGAACGAAGATTATGTAAATTTTAATTCAAGTCCTAAAGAGCTATTGAATGACAATTTATTGACTCATCAATCGAATGATTAATTCATTAATGAAATTATTGATGGAATAATTCATTGATTTTTATAATTGAATTAATTGGAAATGTTTTAATTGTGAAAAAAAGATAACGTGTAATTATGAGAACGAAAAATTCTTTAAAATTTAAATTCAAATCGGAATTGATGAATTGATAATTTATTGATGATCCACTTGATTGACTGATTTGGCAATTCACATAATTGAAGCAATTCAAGCAATTCCAATTGCCAAAAAAAGGAAAATTCAATTTTGTGGAATGAAAAATTATACAATTAATTGGTTAAATAATGAAACAATTTGTTGATTTCCGCAATTGAATGAATTAAAACTATTCGAATTATGAAAAAAATGCTTAAAAAATAGATTTAATTTCAGATTCATCGATTAATAAACAAATCATTGAGTCATCAATTTATTAATCGCCTAAATGATCAATTCACATAATTCACGCAATTGGAACAATCTCAATTGCCAAAAAAAGCAAAATTCAATTCTGTAGAATGGAAAATTGATCAAAAACTTGATTAAAACTCAAATTAATGAATTGATTGACAATTTATTGATGAATTAATTCATGATTTGGTACACGAACTAAATACTTAATCAAAACACAAAATTGATCAATAAAAGGAGACAAAATTCCCATAAATTGAAAAAAACGTCTAAAAATTGATTCCTCCGAATAATGACTAAGGCAATTATTTATTTAAAGAATGATAAATACGTGAGAGTATTCCAATAAATAAGAGGAGACCTCCACTTACTGCAAACTCAGTATTTTTTATTTCTTATCGTGTATCTCGTTATTATCAATGTGAGAAAATTTCTTGTTTTTCTTTTTACTCATTTAATCGTCTATTATGTTATTAGGAATGAGGCTTTACGCTGATTAGTATGGACGAGGTGGTGGTCCTCCACGCATCATTCCTGGAGGGGGTCCTCTCATGCCAGGGGGTCCCATTGGAGGCCCCCCACGTCCCATTGGTGGCATTCCCGGTGGCATTCCTAAATTATATCAATTATATTAACATTCCATAGCAACTAACATTAACAATAATAAGCGTTACTGTTCTCGAGCCCTGATTCAATCGCTGAGCATGAATTTTTTCAATTTTCAAGTAACTATTCAAGGCCCGGGTGGACTATCTTTCGAACGTTATTTCGATGTTTTTTTGTCATCCTTCGTCATCTGAAATTGTCAATTGCGTCCTGCATCATGCCGAAGTTTTGAAGAATTATGAATGAATAATAAAAAAAAAGTTGAAGAAATTCTTAATTTTTTCAAAGAGCATTTTTAATTTATATTCAGAATAAGTTGAACAACAAGAAATTGAAAAATGTATCTGATTTATGGTGACAAATGGTGACGGCCTGTCACCCAATATCATGCAGGGGGAAGACTGATTTCGTAAATCTTTTCCCACACTGCGCAGAGACATTTATTACGGAAAAGGCTCTTTGAAAAAAGTTGTAATATTTTGGAGAATTTTTTGATCACACTTTTATCACATAAAAATGNGAGGAGTTAGTGTTTTGTTATCCACCATGGAAAATGACAGCTAATAGATAATTTGCCACAGCGAATCAGATATTTGTAATTTCCACTTTTTTCAACTCATTCTGAATCTCAATTGAAAACGCTTCTTGAAAAAGTTCAGAATTTTTTCTATTTTTTTTATCATTCTATCATAATTTTTGGGAATTTCTACATGATCTACCCTCAATTGACAATTTTGGATTACGAAAGATGAAAAAAACCCAGATAACATTCCAAAAAAATGATTACCCATCATTCCAGGAGGTGGTCCCATCATTCCAGGTGGTGGTCCACTGACAGGCATTCTTGGAGGAGCTCCAGGGTGCATCTGAGGTGGTGCAGACACCTGTCCCCTTCCAGCAGGTGTCATAATCTGCTGGGAGGGTCCTCCAACGCCCCTGACTGGCCCCTGGAGTCCCGCAGGCACTCCAGCGACGTTGGCTGGCATGCCCCTGCCAGCTGCACGACCCATCCCAGGTCCTGGGGCTGCTCCGGGAATTGGAACCCGTGGGAGGCCCTCCTCCGGTGGTGGTGGCCCCTCCACAGTCAACGAGACAATGTTCTCACCCCTCAGCAGGACAAAACCCAGGACTCTCTTCTTCTCCTTCTCCGGCTGTTTTGTGTTCTTGGGCTTGACTTTGCAGAACTCTTCGCAGTCCCCGAGGATCAGGTTCATGTGCTTGTCGAAGGCCTTGAATGTACCGATGAAGGTCCTGCTGTCCTGCAGAATTATCCTCACGCGGTAGTTTATGTGCTGGAGCATTTTGTTGTTTTTTCCAATCGTCTGGAGCGGGAATTATGGAAAATAATTAATTATTTTTTCGCTGGTCTTGGATTTCATCGAACGAAATGTTGATGTGAATAGAGAAAATATTTCACCGAGAAAATGTCAATTCTTCATTTTTTGTCGATTTTCATTCGTTTTCTAAAATATTTTTCTTTTTTTAATTTTGGCTTGAATTGAGAAAATTTTTAATCTGAAATTTTCAATGTGAAAATCCACAAACATTATCAAACGTTGATGGCAAGGTTATGTCACAGACGCGCGCTCCACTCTACAAACAAAAGCCCTCAAATAAACGGGCATTGATGATTTAATTGAATACTTACCATCTTGACGAGTGTTTTATTCCTCTTCTCTTAACGAATGTTTATCACTGTTGAAATTATAAACCGACGAGCAACAACAATTCGGGGATTGCACCGGCCGAAATCCCGCCAGGTTATGGTCTTGTCGTGTGGTGACACCGACGCCATTTTGAAACCTCAAATGCAACAAATATTATCGACAGAGTCGATCATTAATGAATTCTTCGATCGTTAGATGTCGTTAATATGAACTGTCCTCATTGTTTTCCTGCAGGAAACCAATCACTGAACAAAAAAATTTTTCCCATTCGGATTCAAAATTCAGGCAATATTAGGGAGTATCTCCGGTTTGAAATTATTTTTGGAGCTAATCAAATTTATTTGTATCTGTTCCACGCACTGAATGGTTTTCAGATTGTTTTTTTTTCAATAAATGAAAAAATATTAATCCATGCGAAAAAGTGGCAACATCGTCGGTAGTTTTTTTTTCACCAGGAGCTGGTACCACTGGCTCGAGGGAGCTCCAATCACAACGCTTCATCGCTCTCTCTCAAGAGACGTTTAAATTGACCGCGCTACCCCCACCCGATCGGTACTTGGGACGTTGCTGCTCGTTTGGGCTGCGTGCGCAGAAATGTCATTTTTCAGTACTTTTTTCGCTATTATTAATAAACAATGCTCCTAGGCGACAATCTTTTTCACTCAAAAAATCATTGATCACATGTTCTAAATGCGTCTAAAGTTTCATGACTTTGGCTGCATTTTTTCCTTGGGTTTTGCAGTTTTTTTTGTGATTTCCATAAGATCACGGGTTAAATGACCACTTTTTCAAAAATTCATAATAAATTAACCATGCTCCCCAGCAGTCTGAAACTTTGCACACGCCTTTTCCATCATTTAAAGAATACATTTAAAAAAAATGGCTGCTTTTTTCCAATCCTCCCAGCTCGCCCGATTATCCTTAACTCTGTTTACTCGGAGCTCATGTTATTTAAATTGAAAAATCATCGTTAACAGTTCAGTTTGACGGCAAGTGTCCAGACATTTCCACGTGATTTCTATCAACAACAATCGAACAATGTCGAGAATAGAAATGATGTCAAGTCTCCATCCTCCTACGAATGCGATAGATTTTCGATTTTTGAACGTGTAATTTTAACATCTTTACGTAACTCCCTGAAACCGGTGAAAGTAAAAATGTACTTTGGGGCCGATGTCCGAGGGAAGGGCCATCGAGGGTCGACGACCCCCTAAAATGCGTTCTCAAGGTGCACATCGCCCGGATGTGACCCACTTAGTGTTCCTATCTCCCAGTCATGACGAATGCTGGCCGGTGGTGCAAGCAACGTTCTTTCCCTTTTTATTTTTTAATATGCTTGCTCGTCAGTTTTTTACGTTGCGTAAGGTCTACAAGGTACATTTGTCGATGCACGCAATCGAACGATCATCGGGGGGCCACTCAGCGGTCATCGAACTCCATTCGACCATTGAAAAGTGAATTTTCGAAGGGTCATCATTCCTTCACTTGGAAATTAATTTTTTCTTTGAATTCTTCCGTAACTGGATCAGTCAATGAATTTCCAAAAAATTAATAGTGAAGACAATATTTTATACGACCAAAAAATGACGGTCTTGTGACCGTCATGTGACGTCCCGAAATTTCTAATGCCAAATGACGGTCACAAATTTTTTGTGACCGTCACAAAGAATTTTTTACCGTCAAAAGAGTAAAATAGTAATTTCCGTTACCAAACCATCTATATAGGTGTGAAATTACCGTCATAAATATATTGCTTTTTGTGACGGTCATATAATTTCTACATAATTGGCATCGGTTATTCGTTCAATTTATTATTGATTATCAATTATTGTTTATTATAAGGTTCTTATGGAAGACTCGAAATGTATGTGTACAACTGCACAACAGCTTTTTTTAATTATAAAATTATGAAACATGTGCTTACATATATTTTCATCACGCTGTGACGAAAAGTGAACTTTTCGGCACGCTCCGCATGCCTAAAAGTCCAATTTCCGCCACATTGTGACGAAAAATATTGTTCGTAACTCGTGAAAAAATGTTTTTTAGCTCGTGGGATTATATCACTCGCCAAAAAACACTTTTTTGCACTCGTTACGAAATATACTATTTTGCATACTCATGAGAGAATCATTACACTTTTCATCTTTGGAACAAAATAAACGAAGTCAAGAGTTCTAGATACTAAAGTAAGTAAACAAAGTCAAGAGTTCCAGTTAATTAGAAAAAAAAATAGATGAACAAAAAAGTGTTTCATCTATATAGATGCAAAATGACCGTCAGTTTTTCGGCCAATTGTGACCGTCACGGAAAAATTTTTTGTGACTGGACCGGCGGTCATTGGGGCCTCGTCATGTGACCGTCGATGACGGTCACATGACCACTTTATGACCGGTCACATGACGCCTTCGCATCTCTACGCCCGATTATCCTTAACTTTTGCTTCCGAATGGACGTTTGGAATCCCTCAAATACAAATTTTGATTTTTTTGTGTTAAAATCAACCCATTATGATCCAAAAAATCCAAAAATCAAGCGATGGAATTTAAGCTTTTGGCAATGTTGGCTGCCAACGTTGGGGTTATATTGGCTACCAACGTTGAGGAAATGTCGGGGCAATGTTGGAACTGAAATATTTTAATGACTCAAAATATTTGTAATTCTCCAGAGATTCTTATCATGCGCTTGAGTACGAACATTCCGTTTCTAGTAATTACAACGATTTATCTCTCACAACGCAGAAGGACCGTCTGTGTACGAAACTACACACTACTGCGTAGTTTATCTTCAACTGCGCACAAAATATTATTCCCTCCTGTTTTTGTTCCGAAGTTTCCCCCACGTCTCACGTCCCAAATGCCACCCCTCGACGAAGCCCCAACGATTATTCATTCCAGAGAAATCCGACGCAGAAACAAAATTGGGTGAGCTTAGTCAATGTGGGCACTATGAATTAATTATAATTATACATAATTATAATGCATAAACAAATGCCCTGAGAAAAAAATTGAATAGAAAAAACCTAGCGAATTCGCTAGACAATTCTATTGGATTCCTGTTGAACTTTCTATTGGTTTTTATTTGACATATGTATTTATACTTTAGAAATATACTTGACAAATATATTTGTATATTTAACGTATTCGACAGATCAAAACAAAGAAAAAGAAGAATCGAAATACGAAACTGAAAAATATGATTCATTACTCACCATATGTTTAAATGAAGTAAAACGAACTTAACGAAGTAAAATTTTAAACGAAACACTACATAAGATATTTTTAGAGATTAAAGTAGCACATATTTCAGTACAAACAGGAATTACAAATGATTGAAATTACATCGAGTCGTAATTCCATAAATTTTATTAAATGAATGCATTATTCCATGCAACCTAGCGAAGGCCAGAGAATAGAAAATATTCTATAGAAAAAGTCAAAAGAATCCGATTTTTCTGTACAACTTATTCTACTGAGATATTTTCTATAGAATTTCCTCGGCTCAAATTTTCCAAGTTTTTTTGCTTGATTTTTTTTATGAGAAGGAAAGAAAAATAGAATAAAAGAAACTTGAAAAATTTGAGCCGAGGAAATATATCAGTCGCCTTCGGCTCGTGCTATAAACCTCCCACCAGTCAAAAAACATTTTATGTCATTAGGCCCGATAAACCGCGATTCTAACCGAGCGAAGCGAGACAGTTAAGCGAGCTCGCTTCGCTCGGTTAAATCGCGGTTTTATAAAATAGCTCGCCTTCGGCTCGGATTATAAAGCCAAATTCGCCAGATAATACTTTTATCGCCTAATGACATAATATACTATTTCCCATGAGTATCGAACGATATTTTTCATCACAATGTGTGGAAAAGGGACGATTTAGGCGTGAAGCGTTCCGAAAAACTTACTTTTTCGCAGATCGTGATGAAAAAAAATGGTTCAATGACTTGCGGTGTTAAAAAAATTCAACTGGATTTTCCAGAAAATGACACTGAATTCAATTTAACGGAAAAAAGTCTATGAAACTTCAAGTTTCCCTGAACATTCAAGGAAATTCCTGATTTTTCAGTGGAAGAACCATGAAGATTCCGAATTTCCATCAATTTTCCTGGAATAATTCAACTGAAATTAAAAATTTCCATGAATTCCACGAAAACCACGAATTTTCAATGGTAAAATTCCCTGAAATTTCAATGAAGCCGTCACTTGTTTCATATTTCAAGACTAAAGCCTGGAAAATTCAGTGAAAATTTTGTTAACAGTGCGGTTACCCCTAATGCAACGAGCAATAAAGATTGGTAAGTAAAAAACGTCAATTATGAAAATCGTTAATTACGAAAAAAAATGAAATTCATTTATTTCAGCTAATGAAGCTGACGGTTGCAATTTCTCGGAAAAAAATTGATTCGATAACAAAGACAGATAAAATACAAACGGTTGTCAACAGAGACTTGAGGTGGCGAGGGGAGGGGTTCGTTGACCGAGAAGCACGTGCGGCACTGTCCCAGAAAGTCGGCTCGTGTAAGTATAAGAAAGAGCGACAACATTGCCTGCACTGAAAGGCGAAGCGATTTTGTGTTCTCCCCGTCCAAGGACGTAGACCTAATGCATCTGCTTTCTCCTCGAGTCATCTACGCGTTTATTACATAATGATTTGGAATACAGGCCACGTAAATATGTGGAGAGAAGATGAATTGAGAGATAAATTTTTGTTTTTTTAGGTGTTGATTTTTGTAGAGGGGAAAGATGTTTACGTGGCATTTTGCGGGTTTATAATATCAATTGGTGATTTTGAACTATAAAACATTATGAATCTTGATTAGGCGTATAATCGGTTATTTGTCTTTAATTTCCCTCGCAATTTGGGGAATTTTTTTGATTAAATGTAATAATGAAGCTTGGCTCATGAGTAGAAACAAATAAAAAAAAACTACCATTGTATATTACTGAAACGAATTATGATTTCAAATAATTGATTTTTCAGTTTTGTAATTATTACATTTTATTATTATTATTATTATTATTATTATCATTATTATTATTATTATTATTATTAAATTATTCCATCGACTAAATTACAAAATTTATGATGCATTTAATAAGAAAAAATCACCCAT